GATTGTGAGGCTGGCGCAGGCCCGGGGAATGGTTCATTCTGTTGTGCATAAGATCGCTATGAGTCAGCTCTAACTCGATGGCACCTCATAACAACAGTAACGACAAATGGTTAAGGTGCCAATGACTAGCTGAAATGTTGACAGCTAAAACCCACCCAGGAGTGCCTCAGAAGATTAGACTAGCAATCTCCTTCCAAAGGATCAGAAACTTGAAAACCCTCTGTGTGCTCACTCGGTCAGAGCTGACTCCGTGGTAGCTAACAACAGCACCGGGACAGCAGCAGCACTGCAGTTACCTGGGCCCAGGTCCTGGCCAGGGTGTGTGAGGAGCTTCTAAAGGTGACGTCAGCCCTAGGACCACCTGCCTCCTCTGGAGCACGCGTGGAGGAGTGGGAGTGGTAGAGTCCTACGGCATGCATACGTAGCAGTGGAAGGTGGTGTGCTATCTTTGCAGAAGGAATTGTGAGCCCTGGAAGGCCTCAGGTCCCACTGCTAACTCCTGAGATTACAGTAACAGGGAGTTGAACACAGCTGGTACCTGCTCCCCTGGGAGGCGGAAACTGACTGCTGTAAACCCTGAGCTGTCTCAGGCGCTTACTCCACAAGAAGTAAGTTGCATTCTGTCTTCTTTCTGACACAGCTCACACATACTGATGTGGGACCTATAGCTTGAATCTGAGGTGTGGGAAGAAGGAGATACACAGTACCTTTTGACAGCTAACGAAGAGTGTCAGGGAATAGAGTTGAGTTCTTATATGCCAGGAACGAATGAAGGTAGAAAATCTAGAGACCCTCCCTGGACTGAGGGTCTGTGAGTGTTGACTGAGGCATTGTGGGAAGCCATGATCCCAGCTGAAGTGACCTGGGAGTTGAGCTCACAGTAGAGGACCAGCAGCATCAAGTAGCTTCTGCATCCCATAGGTCCTGGACGCATGGGAACAAGAGGGGATTTCATAATTGAGGTGTGAAGAAGTGGCCTCATGAAGAAGAGCTGCTGTTGGATATGAAATACCCTTCAGCTGACCTTGTGGGAGAATTTCGCACTGACTGTGGACACATTACACTGCCGGAAACTTCTTGCCGACTGTAGGACTGGGAGTAGAGTTTGGCTTCACATTACAGGGAAGCTATGGCGACCATGAAGAAATGGATTCAGACATGCAAGAGAAAAGGTGAGAGTTGTTGAGGGTCTGGAGAGGGAGGCACAGAGGGGGACCAAGGCTGCAGCTTGAGGTGAGAATGTGCTAGTGGGCACCACTGAGGAAAGGGATTCCTGTCTTCCATCCCATAATGAGGAAACCTCCTCTGGGAGCACTTGGAGAAGAGAGCTTTCTCACAAATTCCGTTTCCTCTTATAGGTTCATCTTCTGAGTGTAGTGATTGGTCCCAAGAGAAGAAGAGGAAGCTCAAAAGACCGGTGAGTTGGTATTACCTATTTTTCTGACTTGTTGGCTCAATTTCCAGAGAAGAGGAAGAGGGTGCCTTTGGATGGGTGAAGGTGATCACCATTTAGGCATTTCATGCCTTCATGTCAGGTACTATTTTAAGCATTTTTAGAATGGTTTGTATCCTTTTGCATTTAGTTTGCCTTTAAGCCAAATAGACCCCAAATGAATATAAAGTAAGTTGGAGGGTCAGATATATATAAAGTAAGAGGAGGACACCCAGCGAGATGGATTGGCAAAGTAGCAGCATCAATGGGCTCAGGCGTGGCAACAATTGTGAGATTAGCCCAGGATCAGGCAGTGTTTCGTTTTATTATGCATAGGGTGACTATGAGTCAGTACCAACTCGATGGCACTTAACAACAACAACAGCAGGATACTTGAAGACATTAACAATATACCTATAAAGCTGATTGCTAAAAATTTTTACAGTTGACTATTAAATTTCACTAAGGAGCTCTGGTAGTGTAGTAGTTACGAATTGGGCTGCGAACCTGAAGGTCAGCAGTTTGAAACTACCAGCCGCTCTGCGGGAGAAAGATGAGGCTTTCTGCTCCCGTAAAGATTTACACCCTCAGAAACCTTGAACAGGGTCGCTATGGGTTGGAACCGACTCGACGGCACTTAACAACAACAACAACAACATAACTCTATATAAGGAGCTTTGGTAGCGTAGTGGTTACAAATCAAGCTGGAAACCACAAGGTTAGCAGTTCAAAACAACTAGCTGTTCAGTGGGAGAAAGATGAGTCGTTTGCTCCCATAAAGATTTACAGCCTTGGAAACCTCTACAGGGTCACTATGAGTCGGAACCA